GCAGAGGGACCCATCCCCAGGCTGTTTTCTGTGCCGCAGATTATTTGCGCTTTTTCTCATCTCTCCTTTATCCAGAGCATTGTGTTTAACCTTGTGGGCAGAGCCTGTCACCGGGTCCTTGCAGGCTCCTGCACCCTTTAGAGCATCCAGAGTGGGTTCTGCCAGCCCACGGGTGCGAGGTGGCTGTCAGGGGGGAGCAGGGGGTCGTCTCACAGCTCTGAGGTGGCATGTAATGCATTCCACAGCTCTGTCCTTGACAGGAGCACATCCCTCCTCCCCAGCTCCCAGCACGGCTGGCAGAGTAAACTCGAGCAGCACTGAAACCTCCTGGGCAAACAGCCTATGGTTGGTGGCTCCTAGCAGGGCTGCAATGCACAGAAAACTGTGTGAAAGCAGTTTTGACAATGAAAACATGTGTATGGTTATTTGTCAGAATTGGGTTTTTTTTTTAATGTGGGAATTGCAAACAAAATCCCTCCAGCCATGTGCAGGCAACTCTGGTGCATGTAGAAATCTCTGGCAGCTATCAGATCCAGGGATGCTGCTCCTGTAGAGCAGTTTGGGAATCTGCCCCAATCTGTGGTTGGTAGGACAAGCTGAAGAATTGCTGCTGGTGGTAAGAAGATGCTTTAGATCTCCTGCTGGGAATTGCTGCACCAAGTGACCTGGTGTGTGGCTTGTGAAGTGCAGTACAAAGAGGTACAGGCTGTGTGTTCCCCTCACTCACCTGATTTCCCCCTCTCCCTGCAGGAGGAGGATTGCTGGATGAAGGCCAACCCCAGGGCTCTGAGCCAAATGTCAGAGAAAACTTGGATTTCTTTGTGAGCAGCTCACACAGCATCCACAAGTGCCCTTCCCCTTCGTGGCTCCTGCAGGTGCCAAGATCTTCGTGCAGACATGGCATTTAGAAGGACAGAAGGAATGTCCATCATGCAGGCCTTGGCCATGACCGTGGCAGAGATCCCTGTGTTTGTGTACACGACGTTTGGGCAGGTACAGTGACCCTCTCCTGGTCACATTCCTTGGATTTGCTCTGTGGGGATTGTGTGGGTGGTGAGGGATGGCATGGTGCTGGAGGGGCCTGGGCAGTGTGAGGGTTTGGTGTGGTGGAAGAGAGTTTCTCAGGGTGAGCTTGGAGAGGGGAAAGAAACACTTCCCAATCCATCCCCAGGAGAACACCTGGGTTCAACCTTTCTCTTCATCAAAGGCTCTAAAAGAAGACTTTGAAAGAAGAGCAATATATTTCCCACTTGCAGTAGTGCAGTGCTTGGAGCAATAAAGCTCACCAGGGTTTCGGAGCTGAGTTTGTGTAACCTAAATTGCACCTTTTACAGCTGTGTGCAAATTCTGCAGTGTGTTTTGGTAGTGAGGAGCAAGACTCAAGTTCTTCAGGTGCTGTCCAAATGATGCTCCACAGTTTCTCTGCTGCTAAGTCTCAGCTGTGTTTTGTGTGGGGAGTGGGAACACCAAGATGTCTGGAGTTAAAGACTGTTTGTTTTAAGGAAAAAAAAAAAAGATTGTGGAATTGTTTTTTCATTGTTGCTCTTTGTTTTGTGTTTAAAGTCTGTCTTCTCTCAGCTGAGGCTCTCTCCAGGCCTGCGTAAGGTGCTGTTTGCCACAGCTCTCGGGACAGTTGCGTTGGCTCTCGCAGCTCATCAGCTCAAGCGTCGGCGCCGTCGGAAGAAGCAAATTGCTCCGGAGAAATGTGGCTTTAAGCCTGGAGGGATCACAGTGCCCATCCTGCCAACCAGAAGGGTCTCCTCTGTGAAGAAAGGTTGGCTTTATCCCCCAGTTCCTTGTGTGAGGGAGCACAGAGGGTGTACAGGGAGCGATGGGAAGTTCTTGGCAGTTGGGAAGAGGAAAGCAAAGCCATTTGTGTAGTGCTTTGATGCAGAATGCAATGAGGAGCCTGAAGCACAGTGCTGTGAACTCAGGGTTAGGGGAGGAAAGGGAGAAATCCTCAAATCCTTGTGGGAAAAAAGCTGGCAGTAAAGTTTTCAGCAAGGTGTGCAGTTCCCATCCCCATTCCTACAGAGCCTGTGGACCTGTTACACCAGACTTCTCGGGATAATAACCCAGGCACGTGGTGACCTGGTTGCATATTGATCTGGTGATGCCAATGTGATGCTTGGCCCAGGGGTCCTGTACACAGCTGTGAGGAGGGAAGAGTGGCCTGGGCCAGGCTGAGAAGTTGGGAATGTCCATCCAGCTCTGCAGAGGTTCCGAGACTTTAGGCAGCTTTCTCACCTGCTTGTGTTGATTTTTGGGGTGAGACTGATCCAGGTCCTCAGCAAAGCACTTTAGGGATTAAGCATTCGTTTTGTGAAAAGTATGAAAATCTTCAGGCAGTTTTAATAATTGCCAAATGAGCAATGTCTGTGCTCTGCCTCACTCCAGGGAAGGTGGAGGAGTTTTTCCTTGCTTCTTTCCGCTTGCTATCCATAAGGTGTGAATAAATATCCATTCCTCAGCCTCAGATCCCTGCTAACACCTGTTTTCTCAATATCTCAGAGCAAAGCAGAGCATACTGGAGATCTGTGGCTTGTTTCTAGATATTGGATGCTGCTTTGCCCATTTGTAGTCACACTAGGCAAGGTGATGTTCCTCTCCCTGTAGTCACCTGGGCCTAACACCCTGTTTTTGTGTGACCTTCCTAACTGCAGGATACTCCAGCAGGAGGGTCCAGAGTCCTGGCAGCAAGAGCAATGACACTCTCAGTGGGATTTCCTCCATTGAGCCCAGCAAACATTCCAGTTCCTCCCACAGCCTCGCCTCGGTAAGGACCTTCTTGGCTGGGAGATGTGCATAGAGCTGTAATGAGATCACCTAGTCCTTGGGCTTGTGCTGGCCAATGGAGAATGCCAAAGCCTCTGGAGCAGAACAGGTTACAGAGTAATTGTAGGGCGGGTTCTGATATTAACCTCGCACTGAGTGTCTGGAGTTGCCTGCTTGGAATCAGAGCAGCAATTTCCAGTGGCAGGGCACATTCCTGTGCTTTGGCCAACGAGGTGCTGCAGGAGGGACCTCCCTGAGGGACATGGGGCTCTCTGTGGTTCCCCCCAAGCAGTGGGGAGTTTGTTTGCTTCCCTCCACAGTGGAGTTTTTTGGGTGGCCAGCACAACCCTCCTGAGCTGGGACTGCTCACAGGTTGCTTTGTTGTTAAAACCAAATTAACTACCAAAATCTGGTAGCTCTGTTCAGGAAACAGCACAGGTCGAGAACAAAGCCTGATTGTTTTGCCTCCTCCAAAGCCAAAAGCAGCCTATAAATGCAGGTAATTCAGGCTTAACCAGGCAGGAGAAGCCATGACTGCTTATATCTACCTTTTATGAGACCAAAACCTGCAAGCATTCATGGCTTCAAGACCTGTTTCACATTCTCATTGCTCAGAACCTCCTGTTCTATTGGAGCAGGAGGGACACAGGTGAACCTCTCCATTGGCATTGCTCGGGCTAGGAGGAAAATCAGGGAGGAAATCACCCCTTTGAAGGCATCTGTTGGCCACCAGCACCCTGCAGTGTGTGCTGCTGTTGCTGTATTTAGCTTGTCCTGTACTGTTAAAGCACCAAAAATACACCAAAATCTGTGCTGGCCAAACTGTGCCTCCAGCAGGAGGCAGAGCTGGTGCAGTGCTGGGCCCGTGGCCCTGCACCAGTGTTCCCTGGGGGAACTGGGATATCATGGGATGTGTCAGTGAGGACCGAGCTGTGTCCAGCTCTGGCCTCTTTCCCCCTACAGGGACTCTCATATCATATCCATTTAATTTCCCCATGGCTCCTCCATTCCCACAGATGCTATCCAGGTTTTGTAACACTGAAGTCTGTTTCTCTTTAGATGAAAAACTATCTAAATTCTCTTTTTCCATTGCTGGTGCCTGGGTGGGGAATGTCCTCATGGAGAGGGATCTGTTCCCATACTCCCTTCATTGTGGGGAACTCAGTGTCTGTTATACTGTACTTACTGCTTTTGTATTACTTGATGAAAAAACATCAAGTAACTCATCCTTTGCACAGCTGCAATTTTTGCCTGTGTCTCATCTGCTTCCTTGGGCTCTTCTTTGCCATCCAGTAAGTAAGTTGGCAGCAGTGAACTGATGATTTGCAGTTCTGGATCTCAAGGTGATTTATGAACACTCCACAGGGATTGATCAATGGAAGCAGGGCAAGAATTCCTCTGTCAGCTGATTACTGTAGCTTTTTTTCTGGTATCAGGCTCACATTGGGGCACCTTTCTCCAAGCCACAGGAACATACTGGTCATTGATAGTGTTTGAACCAGCACTTTATTGGGTCAGATTTTAGAAGACATTTATGTGCTGGTGTGAAACTGGAGAAAGCTGACACTGCTGTGTGGATTGTAGTGCTCAGCCCTCCCAGGAGAGGGTTTGGTTACAGAGAGAAGAGCAAGGATTCCCCTTGCCCTCTGGGGATTCCTCACATGTACTTTTGTTGGGAATCTGTTCCTTTGGATTGTGGTTGTTTCTCCTCCACTTCCAGTGGGTTTTGTACAGACAACTGGGGCTGACATGAGCTTTCTATCACAGTCCTGGTGCCCTTGTAGCTGTTGCTTTGGAGCTTTCCTGGGCTGTCACCTCCACCAGTGCTCATAATTGTATAGCTCCTGTTTCCTAGCAAAGCTTCAGTGTAAATTGGTTGGGAAGGTATTTCCCACACAACTTTCTGTGCTTTCAAAGACATCATTATGCTGCTGAGTGGAGAAGGGGAGGAATTCTCACCTTGCCTCCCCTCCTGAGCACTGTGTGACTCTTGGCAGTTGACAGCATAGGTGTACCCAAACAGGGAAAGGTAGTCACCCTTGATACCTTCCCCTTCCCAGGCATGGGAGTCCCAGTACAGAGAAGCACAAGGGCAAACATGGGGAAGGAAAGTGCCTTGCTGTTGAAATTTAGCTGCTGGTGGTGTTTGTGTGATCTGTTGCTACCCTTGGAGAGAATTCAAAAGGCATTTGGTGCCCTCTGCTCCCTTCCTGCAGATAGTTGCAGTCAACTCTACAAGTCCAACACCTGCAGGGATGTGGGAGGCCCAGGCAGTGGGAGATGCTGGAGCCATTGGTGATGCCAGTGCAGAAAGTCTCTATGTTCAAGGTAAGCAAACACGGGGGTAACATTGCCCTGGGGAGGTTGTTTATCACTGTGAGAGCAAGAAGAGGGTGAAAATTGACATAAAGCATCAGGAGCTCCTTGTGGAGCTCTAACAGGAAACTCTCTCCTGTTAGCAACTTAAACTCAGTCACTTGTTAGTTATAAAAATCCATCTTCTCCTAAAGAAACATTTACCTCTTTTGTCAGTGAATAATTTGCTTCCAAAATACTATTCTTGAACAACAGGCTCATCTTGTGCAGAGAATAGTATTTTGGCAGTAACACAGCTGATGTTTTAACCAGTTTGGGGCTGTTCTCCTTAGCTTGTAATCCAAAAATAAACCATATTTAAAAAGGAAAGAAATAGAATACATTTATTCTTTCAGTTGAGATTTCCCTCCTTGCTGGATGGTCTGAGTGAGCAAAGACTCATGCTGTATCTCTTTGCTCCTGAGTGCCCTGGGGCTCTCACATCTGGTATCTGGTTGCATTTCCAGGCATGGAGCTGTTTGAGGAGGCCCTGCAGAAATGGGAACAGGCACTGACCATCAGGCAGAGGGACAGTGCTAGTACCAGCACCCCTGTGCCCTGGGACAGCAGGAAACAGCAAGAGAGCATCTCTGAGAACATTACCGAGGTAGGTGCCTGCTTTCCCTTGCATTTTCCAGCTGGGGAACCTGCTGCAAGGCCAACCTGTGTGCTGGGAGCAGTAATTAGTAGGAGGTTAAAAGAAGAGCAAATTAAGGGCAGAGTCAGACCAGACTCTGTTTAAGAGCTGTCTGTATCTGCAGCTTCCTTATGCAATGGGAGTGGGTGTTTTTAATTTCTTGCTCTTTTTAATATGTCTCACCCCCTCATTCCCCAGCTTTCCTGCCCACCTTCCAGCCTCCTGTCACTCACTGTCACACATGTCCTCCCGTGGCACAGCCTGTGGCAGGGAAAGGCTGGGATGAATATAGCACTGGAGAGCAACAAAGAGCTTTTTGCCAGGCAGTGTTGTGGCTGTAATTTTTTGATGCTTTTGAAAGTGGAGATCTTGCTGATCACTATCCCTTCCTGGGAAGTTGAGGGAGAAGCAGAGGCCAAGCTGCCTGGGTGTTAATGTGTAAAGCAGTGGTAACTTGGTAGGAGTTCAGTATGCCCCTGCTCACTGCAGGGAGATGTGCAGCTCATTCACCCTCAGCTACAGAAATCAGTGTTTTAGGAGAGTCCCTTGCTGTCTTGGACTTGGACTATGCAGGAAAAACACCTGCTAAGAGCAGATCCAAACTAGAATGGCTCAATGACAGCCACAAAGCTAAAAAGAGCTGCTGTAGCTCAGGATTGTGAAAGGAGCTAAACTCCCAAGTCTCCAGGAGTTCTTACTGGCAGAAAGTGTTCCCAACCTCTTGTAGACAGGGCCTGGTCTAGTAAGTATGTGGGACATTTATACTGGATAATGTGTATCCAAGTCAAATCTGGATTCTCTTGTTGGCTCTACTCGAAGAATCCTATAGTATTTCTAAAACTGCCTTAAAAGCAGTTGATGCATTCAAGATAGATTTTGTGCTTCTTGCTAATGCTTCTGTCTTCTGGGTGAGATACTCCTGCAAACACGGGCATGAAGGCAAGATGCTCTCTAAGTTTTATAATCCTCCTTTTTGGTTTATTTCCTCCTGTGTTGCTTACAGCAAACTTTGCTTATGCACAGCACTTTAATCCAAGGACTCTTATTCTCTTACCCAGTTCTGGAAACGCTGTTATAGTCAACACAGGTTTTCTGATGTGATTTCCTCTTGAAATTAGGCTGAAGTCACAAGTCAGGAGAATTAAGTGGTCGGTCACTCATTAAAATACCTGTTTTTCTGGATAGCAGGTTAAAGTTCTTAAGTTCTTTTATAACAGGGAAACAAAACTGTCAAGCTCAAAAACCACAGGGTTGGAACAGGCTGTGAGCAGCTTCCTTCCCTGTGTGTTATTAGCTACATTGTAGGATTAATGATTCCTCTCTCTCTTTTTATTTTTAATCATTTAATCTGCAAACTGTAAATCCAATTTTTACTAAAGATTTCCTGCCTTATTTGTGCTGTCAATCTGTCTCTGCCCAGCTGGCTAACTAAGGGTGGCGTTTATGTGTGTTCAAGGAGGAGTCTCAGAAAAGGGAGTTTGCTGAGAAGTTGGAGTCCCTCTTGCACCGAGCCTACCACCTCCAGGAGGAGTTTGGGTCCTCGCTGCCATCAGACAGCCTCCTGCTGGATCTGGGTGAGGGACCTGGGTTAGAGTGCAGTCACATTCCAGTGTCCTGCCTGGATTGATGTCTTTTCTCTAAGCCAGGCAATGGAGGAGTGACAAAGTGCTGTTTATGAGGGTGGGAAAGAGCACAGGAGCTAAGAGGAATGGTAGTCCATAAACTCCAACACATTGCAGCTTCTTTCTCTCCTCCAGAGAAGACTTTAATGCTTCCCTTGACGGATGTGTCCCTGCGGCTCCGGACGGATGATGAGGACAGCTCAACCTCTGAGGACTCCTTCTTCTCTGCAGCAGAGGTGACTTAAGGGTCAGCTGTGTGTCACAGTCCAGGAGCCTTGGAGGGCAGGCACAAAGGCAGCAGAGCCAAACACCTCTTGGTAGGGGAAGATGATAAAAACACAAAGCAACAGCCCCAAGCTGATGGATGTTAGGAGAAGGTTTTTAATTAGGGGATTGGTGCAGCCTTTCCAATCAGCATTTCCATGTTATCTTCCTGTCTACTCACATGCTGTAACAGCTAGGGAAGTGCTGTTATCTCCTGCAAAGTGTCTTGGTTGTGTAAGTTTTAGGAGATGTTGAGCTGTGTTAGAGCTGAAACAGCTTTTGGTGAGAAAAGAAATATCTTTGCCTGAAATAACTGGCACTGACAAAACTTTGCTAGCTGAAGGAGGCACATCTTGTTTGTGTGCAGTCTCTGAGTATTTGCAAATATTTAACCCATGTCTCTTGCCACCTCTACAGCTCTTTGACTCTCTGCCCTTTGAGGAAATGCCATTCCACCACTCTAGGCCAGTGGCAGCATATGAAGAGGCTCTGCAGCTGGTGAAGGAAGGGAAAGTCGCGTGTCGGACGCTGAGGTGAAGTGTCAGTTGGAGCTCTGGGTCCTTGTGTGGGGCTTTGAGCAGCCCCAGAACCAGAATAGCCTTTTGGGGTCATAAACTCCTAGCATCCTTCCTGCTAGTTTGGACTTTCCAGGGAATTAGCTCCAGATTTTAGGACACACATGTTAAGGAAGAGTAGTTGTCTCAGGAAATTAGTAATAGGAAGTGTGATTGTTCTGGCTGACATAGCCCTGTGCTGTGGTCCCCCAGGGAGCTGGAGCTGGGAATGTGGTTCCTTTCTCTTACACACAGACTGGGAATGTATCGTTTTGTTTTTAGGGGACCATAATTGATAGCAAAACTGACATCAAGAGAACTGAAATTTACTTGATCCTTCCCTTTCCCTCCCAGGACAGAGCTCCTTGGCTGCTACAGTGACCAGGATTTCCTGGCAAAGCTGCACTGCATCAGGCAGGCATTCCAGGTGAGGACAGCTCCAGGCTCCAGCTTTCCATGGCACATAGCTGCCAGCAGCATGTTGTCCTCCACCAGTACAGGGGTGAAGTTTTTGCCTCTGTAGAGCAAGTCAAAGCAGCAGCTCAAACTCCCCTTGTTTAATTCTGCAGTCCCATCCTGTGGGAAAGCCAGAGGATCCCTGATCCCTGTGCCCAGTTTCAGTGGTGGTTACATGGGCGTTGATGCTGGTTTAGTTCTGGGAAGTTAAAGTTTGGGCATTTCAGAGTTGCCCAGAAGCTTTAACTCCCACTTAAGAACTTTCAGCTGGGCTAATGTCAAACCTCTGAGGTGGGGAACAATGTTTGCTTCTTACCACAATCCTCTCCTGGCAGTGTGTGTCTGGAGCCTGAACAGCTTCCAGTCTTCTTGACACTTCCAGTCTTCCAGCCTAATTTTAAACTCACTTCCTAGAGAGAGCAGTTTTGTTTTCTACACTCCACCTTATTAACAGTTAATGACACTGGTGTGTGCAGCTTTGCTTTGCTTTGTGTCCTGTCCTTTTTTCCTCCCAACTCAGAATTTGTGCAGCTGTAGGTGCTCACAAGAGATTTCTGTGTTCCCTTTGCAGGAGCTGCTGGAGGATGAAGGCAATCAACTGTTTTTTGGGGAGGTTGGGAAGCAGATGGTGATAGGACTGATGACAAAAGCTGAAAAGGTAGGAAATACGTACAACTAAACTGTTTTGAGCACAGAGACACTTGTTCCTCTATCCTAACCCAGAGTTTGTCTGGTGTGTTGGAAGAAGAAAACTTCATCTGTGTGCTGCTGACTATTGTGATGTTGATGTTAGCTCAAAACAGAGTAGTCACACTTTGGTGAAATGTGCTCACAGCTGTTGTACTCTCTGAAGTGTTTTGTTTCTCTGCTCTCCCAGAATCCCAAAGCTTTTCTGGAAAGCTACGAGGAGATGCTGCGTTACGCACTGAAGCAAGAGACCTGGCCAACCACTCAGCAGGAGCTGGAGGGAAGAGGGGTTGGTAAACACATTGTCTTTACAGAGTTGCAGAGGAGTTGGAAAACAATTGTTCCCCAGAGAAGCTGTGGACTCCCCATCCCTAGAGGTGTTCAAGGCCAGGTTGGATGGGGCTTGGAGCAACCTGAGCTAGTGGAGGGTGTCCCTGCCCGTGGCAGGGGGTGAGATAAGATGATCTTTAAGGTCCAACCCAAACCAGTCTGTGATTCTATGGTAATGGATATGTAGGAATGGCCCAGGAGTGAAAGAGCTGCTGCTGCAATACAATTACCTTGACTTCAGTTTGTTAGTTTTTGTTGCTTCAAACCAAAAAAGTCCATCTTTTTTTTTTTTTTTTTTTTTTTTTTTTTTTTTTTTTTTTAAACCTGTTCCCTTCACAGACTGTTGTGCTCTCTGGCAGGTGGTGTGCATGAGCTTCTTTGATATTGTGCTGGACTTCATCCTGATGGATGCCTTTGAGGATCTGGAGAACCCACCCTCCTCCGTGCTGGCTGTGCTGCGCAACCGTTGGCTCTCCGACAGCTTCAAGGAGACAGTGAGTGAAACAGGGAGTCCTTGTGCTGACTGAGGTGGCAGTGCCAAGGCTAGAAAAGAGTATAACCTCATCTGTCCTGGCTCAGCTGAATTCTGTCTTTATAAATCCCACGTTTTCCTGAAGCTCTTACCAATCTTCTGGTACACAGGAATTGTTTACAGGAAAGCTTTCCTTGTTTTGAAAGCATCTGGTTGACAACCAGATTTATTGCTCTGGGGGCCTTTATCAGTGATGCCATGGAGATGTTAAAGATAACAGCACATATTTTCATGAAGGAGAACGTA